CACAGCACCACTTCTGGCTTTTTCTACTTATGTGGTGCTGAGGAATCGAACCCAGGGCCTCATGCATGCAAGCCAAGCGCTGTACCACTGAGCCACTTTCCCAGCCCAGTCCATGAGATTCTTATCCCCAATTAACCACCAGAAAACCATAAATGACACTGTCGCTCAAATGGTAGAGTGCTAGCTTTGAACTGAGGAGCTGAGGGTCAGTGCCTAGACCCAGAGTTCAAGCCCATGACCAACAAAAAACCCCAAAAAAACAAAAAAAAGAAACTAATACTCTTTAGTGCCTTCTACTGGAAAGTAATGACTATTTTTCTAGCACCTCTTGATGTTTTCCTTTGTTCTCAAGACTCTGGTATCTAAGAAATCTTGGATTATCGCTAGTTGCTAAAGAAAATCTCATCTTCTAGGCTACCCTCTAGAAGCTGTATGGCTTGGGATGTGAGGTACGGAGGTTTTTCTGAGGAAGGCTTGATGGCCGCCCCTTGCGCTTGTCATAATGACTGTGTTACCTTCTCACAAACTGCACGTCCATGTGTGTTTCTGGACATTTCATTTTGTTCCATTTCCCCAGTCTATTTTTGTGTGAAAAACACTGCCTTGTTACAGCTTTATGATAAATCTCCATATCTAGTAGTATAATTCTTCCTTTTAAATTTTCTCATTAAAAGTCAGCATATTTTGCAACAATGTGGGCAAATCTGGAGATTACTATCCAGTGAAATATGTGAGATACAGACAAATACTGCATGATTTCATTCATATGTGGAATCTAAAAAAGTGAAATCATAGAATTAGAGCAGAACAATAGTTACTGGAGTTGGGAGGGGGAGTCAGGCGGCTGGTAGCTGGGGTTGAAATGTTGGTCAAATGGAACTATGAGTGGCTTCAGTAGTAGAGCACCAGCCACGGGTGAAAAAGCCAAGCGACAGCAAGAGGCTGGGGGTTAAACTCAGGGTCCTTGTGCTCACTTGGCTTGCTTGCTCATGGCTGGCTTTCTACCTCATGAGCCCCCCTCCAGTTGGGCTTTCTGCTCATTAACTGGAGATGGGAGTCACAGACTTTTCTGCCTAGGCTGTCTCTGAACCAAGATCCTCTAGGTGCCAGCCTCCTGAGAGGCTAGGATTATAAGTGTGAGCCCCTGGCCCCTGGCTTAGTCTTCCCTCTGTCTCCCAACAACCCCTCCCAGTTTGCTAATATTTAAACAACTTCAGCTCTGTCCCAAGCTAACCTTGCTTGTTATCTCTACCCATACCCTGTCTTCTCTCCTTAGGTGCCTATGCTTAAGCTTCCCCCAAGGGAGGGAGGGGGCTTCTCGATTCAATCATTGAAAGTAACTCAAAGCTCGAGTTTGTTTTCCTCTCGTCTCTGGCTGGGGCTTGGATGATTATATAAATCCAGTGGGTGGCACAGCCAGGCAGGCACTAGTAACTTCCCCAGGCTTTTCGCTCAGCTTACTGTAAGCAGGTTTCATCTCTTTTGCTGGTCTGACCTAGCCTGGGCAGAGTGTGGACTAAGCTGAATCATAATGGAATTCAGCTTCAAAAAAATCAGCGGGGAGGTAGAAGCCTTTTGTGCTTTCACAGAGGAACTTATTCATCTGTGCAACATAAAGGTGGATATATTCTCATCACAGGTAGCAGGACAGGAGCGTAACAGCAAAAGACCTTTCAAATAAACGTGTGCAAGTAAATTATCTAAGGTAACCTGAGGGAGCCTTGGTACCCGCTGTAAGGGAATTTTATTTTTATGTGGAAGTACTCCATTAAGCCATCTCTCCAGATGGTTACAGGAGGTAGCCGCTGAGGAGGCAGAAATCTGTGAGGCTGAAATGTGCTCACTAGCACCTCTCAGTGGTATGTGGGCGGACTTGGATTAATGTAACCGCTACACTGAGATATATGTGTACTTGGGCGGCCACTGAGCCTGTCTCTCCCTAGGTTCTCTCCCTCCTCTTTATATCTCCTCTTTATATCTAACTAGAATAAGCCAAGTTAAGACCCTTTTTGGAACAGGGTCTGACATAAATAAATAAAACTATAGCATGATCCCTCGGCAAAGTCCCTGAACTCAAAAACAAAACCTAACGCCAAAAGTTGACTGGTAATCCACAAAGTCTCATGGCCTTCTGCTTTCAGGGGGTCCCGGGGCAGCAGGTCATGTTGGATGTTGTATCCGATCATGGTGTGTGGCATTTCTGCAGCATGTGGCTTGCTAATAAGCAACATGTTATTGATGGCTAGATCTCTCTGAAGAGCTCTCTGGAGTTTAGTAAACCTGGGAGGATGCTAACCATCAGTGAATTCCTTGGACCCCACAAATGCGGTAGAGCCCAGCTGAGCCAGACATTTACAAGAGACAGCAGGGACCAGCAGAGAATTTCTTCTGGACACAGAATACAAAGCTTCTAAGGGTACCAGCAGCACACTCCCAAGGATGCATATGCAAACCCTGATCCATCTGAGACCCTATTGAATTTTTTTTCTTTTCTTTTTTTTTTTTTTGGTCAGTCATGGGGCTTGAACTCTGGGCCTGAGCACTATCCCTGAGCTCTTCAGCTCAAGGTTAGTGGTCTACCACTTGAGCCACAGCACCACTTCTGGCTTTTTCTGTTTATGTGGTGCTGAGGAATTGAACCCAGGGCCTAATGCATGCAAGGCAAGCACTCTGCCACTAAGCAACCTTCCTAGCCCTCTTTTTCTTTTCCTTTTTCTTTTTTCTGTGCCAGTTGTGGGGCTTGAACTCAGGGTCTGGGCACTGTCCCTGAGTGCAAAAGCTCAGGGTCAGCGCTCTACCACTTTGAGCCACAGCAACTGTTCTGGTTTTTCTGGTGGTTAATTCAACATAAGAGTCTCATAGACTTTCCTGCCAGGGCTGGCTTTGAACTGCGATCCTCAGATCTCAGTCTCCTAAGTAGCTAGGATTATAGGCAGGAGCCACCAATGTCCAGCTCCTTACTGACTTAGGGAAAATAAAAACAAAAAAAACCCCAAACAGGTTGGTAACTCCAGCTGCTTGAATAGAAAGCACTTCCTGATGAGCTAGAAACCCTGAAGGAGATGGGCCCTGGGGAACAGTGGCAGGAAGAGCAGCCAGCGTCAGGTGTTTTGAGGAGGAACCGAGTAGTAATAGTCAAGTATGGCCTCAGTGGGTCCCTCACAGAAAAACAACAAGCATATGTTCCAAAGGCAGAGCTACTGTTTCAAGGACAGAGGGACCTTTGTACATAGTCTCAGTGAAAAACTTATTTTAGGATGTTTGCACATTTGCAGATGAGCAGTATCCTTCAAGTATAGCATATAAAAATGACAATGAGGGACTGGGAAGGTGGCTCAGTGGTAGAGTGCTTGCCTTGCATGCATGAGGCCCTGGGTTCAATTCCTCAGCACCACATAAGCAGAAAAAGCCGGAAGTGGCACTGTGGCTCAAGTGGTAGAGGGCTAGCCTTGAGCTGAAGAGCTGAGGGACAGAGCCCAGGCCCAGGGTTCAAGCCCCAAGACCGACAAAAACAAGCTGTAAACAAACAATAAAAATGACAATGACCCTATTTTTCAGATACAAAATCATCTATCAGTAAAGGAGATTAATTTCTAATTATAAATCACATAAAAAAGAGTTGGTACTGAGCTGGGAATGTGACTTAGTGGTAAAATGCTTGCCTTATATTCATGAGGTGCTGGGTTTGACTCTTCAGTACCACATAACAGAAAAAGCTGGAAGTGGCACTGTGGCTCAAGTGGTAGGGTGCTAGCCTTGAGCAAAAGCAGCTCAAGGATAGTGCCCAGGCCCTGAGTTCAAGCCCCAGGACTGGCAATAAAAAACCAAAAACCAAAAACCCCAACCAAACAACAACAACAACAAAAAAAACAGAAAGAAAAGGAAAAGAAAAAAGAGTTGATAATCAGGAGAAAAAACATTTCCATCTCTGTATGAGGAACTCACTGTGTACACACTGGAGAATACAGCTATTTCTATACTTCAAAAAATTACAACTCACACTGTATAGGAGGGAAATGAGACTCTTGGTATGGATTCACCAGGATAAAGGGGTGTTATTCTCCACACTTTAATACGTTTCACATTTCTGAACCACAGGCTAAGGGTGGGCCTGTTCGCTGTGCCTAAAGATGGACCCAAACGTGGGTAGCCAATCCCAGAACCACGCCTGCGTGGCTGCATTTTCGTCTCTGCTATAGGCGTCTGACACCTCCTTGCAAAACAGCCAGTGCGAGAAGCAAATACTGGCCCACTCTTTTATGGAAAGACAGAATGTGTAAAAAGAAAGACCATCTCATGGATATAAATGGCAGTCTTTTCTTTGCTTCCTAAGATACTTATTTTAGCCTCCTATTTCTAGAACTTTCCTAAGTTCGATTCAGGTTCCACAAGGCCAGAGAAAGGAACATCCAGCCTTGTTAAAAGCACCTTCAGTAGATGCCAAGATGCACCAGAGCCTCATGTAAACAGCCTGGATTACATTAGCAGGCCTCCCTGGAGGAGTGGACTCTTATTCCCAATTCTCTCTTGCCTACCTCACCCTCACCCCATGGTTATATAACCTTCAGGATGGAATTTGGAAATTCCTCTGATCTAGCCTGCCTGCGTTAGAGCTGAGCCAGTGGCTGGCAGGGGCATAATCTAATAGGCGAAACTGGAAAACATACAAGTCCTCTTCTGAGCCCAGACACTGTGCAAGCAAGGAAAGAAAGACTCGCCCTGTCTCCTTCCTCCCCTCCTCTGTCCTAAGCCTACACTGACTTCACCCAACAAGCACCTGACCCTCCAGATGTGGTGGGCGGGGCCAAAGGCCCTCACAGGGCCATGGTGGGGTGGAGGTGCAGGCACAAACAATATTTAAGATGCTGACTTGGTGGAGTGTTCAGGCCTGGGAAGAACACAGTAAGATATCCATTAGGCTCTACCTTCAGAAACTTTGAGCTTTGAGAAACACTAAGAAAGAGCAAAGAGAGAAAAACGCCAAGTGGAAGACCATCCAGAGAGAAACGTTAAGACCCGCTCTCACTCAGCAGGCTCTCCAGAGGGCACATTCAGGGCTTTGAAAGATGCTGAAAAATCGCCTCTCAGCTGTGACCTGGCTCTGCGTCTTCCTCATGGCCTTTGTCAGTCACCCAGCATGGCTGCAGAAGCCCCCGAAGCGCAAGACACCTGCACAGCTGAAAGCAGCCACCTGCTGCCAGGAGATGAAGGAGCTCAGAGCCCAGGTGGCCAACCTAAGCAGCCTGCTGGCTGACTTGAGCAAGAAGCAGGAGAGTGACTGGGTCAGTGTGGTCATGCAGGTGATGGAGCTGGAGAGCAACGGCAAGCGCATGGAGTCGCGGCTCACAGATGCTGAGAGCAAGTACTCGGAGATGAACAACCAGATCGACATCATGCAGCTGCAGGCAGCGCAGACCATCACACAGACCTCCGCAGGTAAGGGGGGCGGGTCCTCACACTGGGCCCTGCCTCCCAGCTAAGCAGCTGGGGGGTTCCCCAGTCACAGAAGGGTGCTAGGTAAACACTCACCAGCATAACTGCAGGGCAGGAGGAGCTCTGGTAGCCTGCACTTTCCCCCCAGTGAAGGCTTATGGAGTAGTTCTTTTGGATCTAGTGCTCTGTGTTGGCCAGTGTGTTCACAGGCTGCTTTAATCATACAGTGTCTCAGCAAGCGAGAAGGTATGAATTCTTGCCTGGAGGCACTGAGCCATGACCTGGTTGGCCCAAAGTCACACAGCAAGTGCTGGAGGCAAAGTTAACTTCGCCTTGGGTGACACAGCTATGCCACTTCCTTACCAAGAGCTGACACGTTGTACTCAATCTCAGAGACAAGAAGGAATTCCATTCATTACTACATGAATATTATTCAATACAAGGGTCTGGAAGAGTTCCTGGAAATCGGCATTTATGTAATTTTATTTCCTCGAATTCCTACAAATCCATCTCCTCTCAGGGCTCAGAATTAAAAGTAGACGCATTGTCCAGAGACTTTTTGAAGAAGCCCTTGATGCTCAGTAAAGGACAGGCTCTTTGGGTTTCCCTAATCCTAGTTTCAATTTTTTTTCCTCCTTAGTTTCAAATAAAGTTCTCCCAAATAATGTAAAAAGTAAATGCAATGGTGAAATGTGGCCTCTTTTAGTGGCCAAAAATAAGGTCTATTTAATGTTTTCTTTTGAAAAATAACTTTCAGCTGCTGTTAGCCTGGCATAGATTTACTGTTTGAGGTAAGTGTGGTTTTCTAAAATTATCAGAAAATATTAGTTGCAAGGAGCATATCCTACTGGTACATCATTTCTTACTAATATGAAAGGCTGCTGGTTGCATTATAAAGACAAAGGGGAAGACATGCCTACTTTTCGATAAGGAAGTCCCTGGATGCCCTCAGTGCAAACAATGGAAAAGTTTTAACATGAAGTTAAGCTTGAAAATTCTACTCTCTAAACAAATGTGTACACATCACTTCCTGACACTGTGGGATTAAAAATGTACCCTTAGGCCATTTTTGAGACGAGTGAGCCTTGATCTTGTCTGTGAGATGAAAGCAGACAGGTGGAAGGCCAGGCTAGACCGGGGAATCTGATCATGCCACTTCCTGCTGGTCTAGATTGGGGCTCTTTCCTTATCCCAAGGCAGGATCTCTGGGAAGCCAATGCAGTTCCCCTGCCAGGCCTCTTATTCTTGCACAGGACACAATCTTTTTCTTCTCTGTGAGCTAGGAGTGGTCATTTCTATACTCTAAATATGTAGGCCCTGGACCAAGTTAAGGTGGGACTTTCTAAGAGTAGATCTCCTCCTTCTCCCTTCCTCCAGCTGCTCTATCAGATGGGACTGGAGCACCCTGGACAATTCCCATGATGGCAGCATCGCCATTTGCCACACTTATGCTTTTTTTTTAAAGATCCCAGCTCAGCTGGAAAACAGAAAGCATCTCCTGATAGCACAAGCCTGCTCTCTAATTCCTATCAGAAGTGGCTGCTTCTTTCAAAACCCACTTTGCTATTTGGAACATGAAGACCAAACCCAGCAGCACAGAGAAGTTAGCCCCAAGCTTAGCAAGAAAGTATTTACATCAACCCCGGAAGAGAAAACTGGACAATCTCATTTCCTTGTTTTAACAAAACTTTCTGGGGAGTCCTCAAAGGGTTCCTTGGAGCCCTGATGTTCATTTAAGCACCTAAAATGGTTAAGACTGGGGAGAGAGAAAATTGTAAAATCCATCTCCTTTAATTAGGACCCAGGTGACAGTAGCTATTACTCCAAGAAACAACAAAAGCAAATGGGCTAGGGACATGGCTCAAGTGGTAGAGTGCCTGCCCAGCAAGTTTGAGTCCCTGAGTTTTTGCTGCAAAACAGCAGCAAAAACAAATTAAGAAAAACAGAGCAGACCTTCTGACATATTCATGCCTCATTCTCTAATAGAGGTGGCTGTCCAAGAAGTCTGATGCTTCTCACAGGGACATCTATTAAGCAGCCCTCACATGCTGTACCACTTCTAGAATCAGGGCGACAACTACAGCAGGATCACTTTCCTCAGACATAACCTGAAACAACTTGTTTCATTGTCCCATTGATACCTCCCACCACTAGCAAAGCCCAGTCTCCTGATGGCCACCTTTCCAAATGGACAGTGTTTGGGGATCACCATGGCATGTTGAGATAGAAATGGAGACAGCTCTGGTGCAGCAGGCACACCTGCCCACCCAGAGCCCGAGCCTCCACTCATCCTACATATGCCCCTTCACAGATGCTATCTATGACTGCTCGTCCCTGTACCAGAAGAACTACCGCATCTCTGGAGTGTACAAGCTTCCTTCCGATGAATTCCTGGGCAGCCCTGAGCTAGAGGTGAGGTTACTACAGCCCACTACCCGTTTCCCATGGCTGGTTCTCCACCCCCAAAGACATGCAGACAGCAGGGCTTGTCACAAGGCAAAAACACATGATGCTGGAGAGCTGTGCAAGCACTCAATTTATGGGTCCTCTATTCTCTAAATCCAGGCATCTGTCTGGTCCTTTCAAATCATTATCAACTAAACACCAACTCTTCTAAAAAAAGAATCGATAACTATAGCCATCATGTCATTAGTTCATCTCAACATGCCCTTGAACAGCTCTTCCTCAGGGGTGTTGGGAGAGAGAAGTGAAGGGGAGGTTGGAAGTTCTCAGTTCTTCCTGAGCCAGCTGAGGATAATGTCACCAACCCTGCCTCAGCTCCCCAATGTAGGGGCTGTGGTGAAGCACACACCCTCCAGCTCCCGCTGTCTTCCCCTGCGAGGCCCTAACCAGAGCATCCTCCTCTGTTCCAGGTGTTCTGTGATATGGAGACTGCAGGTGGAGGCTGGACCATCATCCAGAGACGCAAGAGTGGCCTTGTCTCCTTCTACCAAAACTGGAAGCAATACAAGCAGGGCTTTGGCAGCATCAGGGGGGACTTCTGGCTGGGGAATGAGCACATCCACCGGCTCACCAGACAGCCAACACGGCTCCGTGTGGACATGGAGGTGAGCACAAGGCTCGAGGTCCCAGGATGGGCCCACGTCCAGCACACACATCCATGCCCGACTCTGGAGGCCTCATATTACATCAACATATCACATCACACCCATTACAGAGCTGCACAGTCACTGCGATGGCTTCCCGACAGGCTGCAGTACAGTCGAGGAAGTTTCTCTCTTTTTCTCTTCTTCCCTATTTCTCAGTAAAACAGGGCTGCAGTTGGCCCAGGACAAGGCTGACTCAGACCAGACAGGGCAAGCTCAAGTGTCAACAGGGCCACAACACCACAGTCATTGCTTGGGCCTGGGGCACGATGCTGGTTGGTCTCAAGGCACTCACTTTCTCTTCACATTGCTCTTATCACATCCATCCCTTAGTGCAATCTAGAAGAAACAGGTCTACACCTTTAGACAGGGCAAAGGGCACAGAAAGACCACTTAAGTCTATGTGGTCCATCTGACTCAAAACTCCCGCTAACTAGATGTAACAAGCTATAAAATCTTGGGCTGGGAAGGTGGCTCAGTGGTAGTGTGCTTGCCTTGCATGCATGAGGCCCTGTGTTTGATTCCTCAGCACCACATAAGCAGAAAAAGCCAGAAGTGGTGCTGTGGCTCAAGTGGTAGAGCGCTAGCCTTGAGCTGAAGAGCTGAGGGACAGCACCCAGGCCCAGAGTTCAGGCCCCACGACTGACCGGAAAAAAAAAAAAATATATCTCACCAGAGTCTTACCTGTGAAAAGCTATCTGGCTACAGGGCTGGAGCGTGAGGAGAGGCATGGGATGCTATGAAGCCTCTGCCGTTTCTCTAAGGCTCTGCTCTCCCTACCAGGACTGGGAGGGCAACATGCGCTTCGCAGAGTACAGCCACTTTGCTCTGAGCAATGAATTCAATAGCTACCGCCTCTTCCTGGGGAACTACAGTGGCAATGTGGGCAAGGATGCCCTCCTCTACCACAACAACACCGTCTTCAGCACCAAGGACAAGGACAACGACAACTGCTTGGACAACTGTGCCCAGCTCCGCAAAGGTGAGATTTGGGGTGAGGGAGGAGAGGTGTGGGTGTAAGCCCAGGGGTCTCACTTGAGGACGGAGAGAATGTCCAGCTGTGCTGCTGCTGCTGTGGCCCTGGTGACTTCATTGTTATTGGCTCTGTCTGCTTCCCTGCTGCTCGGTCAGTCTATTCTGTAATCTCAAGGGAGGGTGTGCTGAGATACAGCCTGATCCTTTCTCGTGCCAGGAGGATACTGGTACAACTGCTGCACCGACTCCAATCTCAACGGGGTATACTACCGCCTAGGGGAGCACAGGAAGCACCTGGATGGCATCACCTGGTATGGCTGGCATGGGGCCACCTACTCCCTCAAACGGGTGGAGATGAAGATCCGCCCCGAAGCCTTCAAGCCCTGAAAGGAGGCTCTGGGGCGCAGGGCTGCAGAAGTGAGGGCAGGTAGGCTGGGAGGAGGGTATAGAATGGGTAAAGATGAGGACCGGCCCACCACCTCTGGTGGGAGTCATTCTCTGAGGAGCATGGCAGAACTAGTATGCGGGCTGCGAAGTGAGCACATGGGCATGCTAAAATTGTAAGTACCAAGGCTGTTATGGCAAATGGATGAAGCATTTAAGCCCAGTGCGCCCTGCCACAGACTCGCAGAATTCTCAGGGTGCAGGGCTGAGTGGGCTCCCTCTGCCCCTGATCTGCCCACAGAGTGGCAGCTCCTCTTTTCCACATGATTTATCTGTGGGGAAATAAAATGGTGAGGACACTTTGCCCATTTTCTGCATATGAAAAAAACAGCAAACCCCCTTTGCTATAAAAAAGAACTATGATTTTCTTGTCAAAAGAGAGACTTTGAATATTACAAAAAGGACCAGAAGTTGGTGGTGGAGGAGGGCAATTTTTAAACCTAGTGACATTATCTTTGGTTTATATGCTTAAAAAAATCTCAAACCTTGTTGGGCTCACGATGAGCTAGTCTAGGCTGGTCCTCCTTAGAGGAGGCTCTGGGGCCCTGGGCCTTGCAGGCAGAATCTGGGCCCCTTCCTGCTCACCTGGGTCAGAGACTAGCACTGGAAGTTGCCACCTGGATATGGCAGAGCGAGAGGTGGACAAAGTCCCTCAATATTTGCACAAAACTGACTTAAAACATTCCCAGTCAACATATTTATGGATTCAAAGAGCTCCCTTTTCCATTTTGTAAGAAGTGGCTGAAAAATGAAGGTAGATAGCGCTATGGTTAACAATCTGTGCTGTACATAAGCACCTGGCTTTGTAAAACTAAAATATTACAGCTGGTGTTTAAACATTTCAAGTGTCATTTCCTTCTACAATAAACACTTTTAAAATGAGTATTTTCTAAGGTTTTTTTTTAACCTTTACTACTTAAGAGTGTGATCAAAAATTAAAAACAAAAACTTAAGAGCATGAACAGTGAGAAAGGGTCTCTGAGTTAGCTTCAGAATTTGGGGATACCAGAGGAGGAGGAGGAAGTCACAAACAAAAAGGCAAGGGGCACAGGTCGCTACACTGGTGAGGTGAGACCTCCCAGCCCCCATGGGAGACACTGCCACCACTTGACTTCAAAATGTATCACATACAAACACACCTACTTTGTACTTGGTACAGAGAAGAAAATCATCTGTACCCATCAAGAGTGTCAAGTCGCTCGGACTTGTGGGAAGTCCATCTCCTTTCCAAAGAGAACCAATCCCCCTGAGTGGGGAAGCGTAATGCGAAGTATTTTCTATTGTACCTGTGGTTGATTATTCGGAATGAACTCTACCTTGGAAGCTAGACATAGAGAGGTAAAGATTGAGGAATCAAAATTTGAGGCCAATCCAGGCACAAGAGCTCACAAGTTTTTTTTTCTCAACCAATAACTGGGTATGGGGCACACACCTGTCATCCGAAGCACGAAGAGCAGGGTCACTGTCCAGGCCAGCCCAGGCGTAAAGCAGGAGCCTACCTTGAAAATCACCAATGCAAAAAGGAACTGGCAGAGTGGTGCAAGTGGTAGAGTACCTGCTTAGCAAGTGTAAGGCTTCAGTTCAAATCCCAGTACTGCCAAAAACAACACAAGAACCATGAGCCGGGCGCCGATGGCTCAAGCCTGTAATCCTAGCTACTCAGGAGGCTGAGAGCTGAGGATTGTGGTTCAAAGCCAGCCGGGGCAGGAAAGTCTGTGAGACTCTTATCTCCAAAAAACCACCAGAAAGGGGCTGGGAAGTGGCTCAGTGGTAGAGTGCTTGCCTTGCATGCCTGAGGCCCTGGGTTCGATTCCTCAGCACCACATAAGCAAAAAGAAAAAAAAAGCCGGAAGTGGCACTGTGGCTCAAGTGGTAGAGTGCTAGCCTTGAGCTGAAGAGCTGAGGGACAGTGCCCAGGCCCAGTGTTCAAGCCCCATGACGAACAAAACCCAAAAAAGAACCATGGGGATTTTCCAAGAAATAAGTTAGCAGCTATACCAGAGTAAGGCTTCCTGAGGGACAGATATTCAAAAGAAACTTCTTCAGGCAAGCCAAAGAATCTGAGAGGCTTGGCAGCAGGCTGCTACAAGACACAGACAGAAAGAACAAAGCTTACAGGGGTGAAGAGAGGTAACTGATGATTCTCCACCCCAACCCCATCCCCATTTCCTTTATATCTCATGACTAAAAATTCCACGAGGTTTTTATTATTTATTTTTCTTCCCCAAAGACCAGGACTGGAACTTGGTATCTGATGCTTTTGTTCATGGATTGGCACTGTACCACCTAAGGCATACCTGTAACCACCCCCAAAGCTATCTATCTATCTTTCTCTCTCTCTCTTTCTTTCTTTCAACCTTTAATTTAAATCAGCTTCTGTGGTTTGAGAGAAACTTCTTTGAGAGAGGCAGGCAGAGGGTATAGGGAGATACTGCTTCCCCGACCCCAATGGGGGGGGGGGGGGAGTGAGCAGACTCTTATGGCATTTCCCAAACTGCTCTAGTGTAAATTAACAATGGATGCCAAAGAGGTGGCCTAGCACAGTCTCCAACTTGAAAGAGGACAGAATCGCCAGGAACAGAGCCTGGTGTTGCTTCTGAAATCCAGGACTATTTTTTTCTGACCAGGTCCTCTATGAAATGTGAGAAGGGACACAAATGAACAGGGCTATGCAAAAGACACAGACAAAACAGCCTTATAGGCTCAGCCATCTGGTAAGCCCTGGACATTTTTGTTTTTCTTTTTGAAGATTTCTCAGTCAGAAATATTTTTATTAGGGCTGGGAAGGTGGCTCAGTGGTAGAGTGCTTGCCTTGCATGCATGAGGCCCTGGGTTCGATTCCTCAGCACCACATAAGCAGAAAAAAAAAAGCCGGAAGTGGTACTGTGGCTCAAGTGGTAGAGTGCTAGCCTTGAGCTGAAGGGCTGAGGGACAGCGCCCAGGCCCAGAGTTCAGGCCCCACGATTGGACCAAAAAAAAAAAAAAAAGAAATATTTTTATTAAAAAGGGGTACATGCCAAGGTTGGGCAGTGAAAGCATCCAGCTAGGATCAGATTCTAGCCTCTAAGGTAGAAGAAGAAAGGCAGGCAGCATGCTAGCTAAGCAAGAGCCCCACAGCTTAGGAATCTAACATCCTCACATTTACTCTCCCCCAAGAAGCAATTGTATTTACTAACAGATGGGAGCTTTGAGGATATAGCTGCCCTCTATGCTGTCTAGATGTTAGCCTGATTTGGTTTGTTACTTTATCCTGGAATAGATATGTAAAAAAGCCAATAGGTTCACAGACAGGTAGCTGAACTCAGCAGCAAGACAACAACACTGTCAACAGAATACAGTTAAAAAAAAAAAAAGCTAATAGGGGAAACTGATACACTATGTAAGCCAAGGCCCCTGTCTCCAAACAAAAAGGAGACAAATTGCCAAAGGGAATGTAAGAGTAGAATAAAGTAGTTTGATTTGGCAGGGAGGAATGTATTCACAGTCAAAACAGGTTCAATGTGTGTAATTTATTGGGGCTGGGATAGGGAAAGGAATTTCACTATGAAGTCTCTAGTAGCCACTGGAGAAGAACTCAATCTATGATTTTAGAGACACCTGCCCAAGACCAGGTACAAGAAAGAGGCAGCTGGGCTGGGAAGGTGGCTCAGTGATAGAGTGCTTGTCTTGCATGCATGAGGTGCTGGGTTTGATTCCTTAGCACCACATAAGCAGAAAAGGTCAGAAGTGGTGCTATGGCTCAAGTGGTAGAGTGCTAGCCTTGAGCTGAAAAGCTAAGGGACAGCACCCAGGCCTAGAGTTCAGGCCCCATGACCAGCAAAAAAGAAAAAAGAAAAAGAAAAAAAAGAAAAAAAAAAGAAGAGGCAGCTGTGGGCCACACATACATGGTGAGATCCCTGGGAGGAGTCTGTCTCCAGGCTCCCACCCAGAGGACTAGGACTGTATGTGGGCAGTTTCTCCAAACAACTTTGCCTTTGGTTATTTCTATAATGTTCCCTGGTAAAGATGACAGCGTACCACCACAATGGTGCTTAGGAAAAGCAGTACTGCAGCATCAGAGTGAAAGCTGCAACAGAAACATCAAAGAGAGGTACTGGGAGGCCCAGGAGACCATCTGAAGGAAGCAAAACTGTGAGGCGAGCTGAGTAGGCTGAAAGGCCTGAGGAGCAAAGAAGCATGGCTCTTTTTTAGTACAGAGTTTAAAAATAAAATAGCCAAGGCCAATTTGCAGGGAATTCAGAGAAGGTATTTTCTATTGCATCGGCTTAAAAAGTGAAACAACCTCCTTGAACACTTTCAGGGCCCTGACTGCATTAAAGATCACTCTATGATTCTCTCAAATAGAGGGTGGGATGACGAGGCCACACACAGATCTCAAATAGAAAAGTCAACAAGGACATTAATGGATGAAACTTGTTACTGTCATTGACATTAAGGTATTCAGTAAACATATTTTCTATAGTTATTACATGAGATTGTGTTACCTAAGGCAGGCAGGTAGAGGAGGAAGGGAAGAGTCACAGGTGTTCACACTTACTAATCTTACTTGATGTGCAAACATTCCTCCTGGGTCTCATGTTTACAACTGTCCCTAGGCCACAAATCAACATCCTCCAGGTTTGGGCAGAAATAGAATTCCGTGTCATGTGACGGGAATGCTTTTCAGCATCTGCTCAAAGACAGAGCTAGCTATTCTAATAGATAGCTATTAACAGCAGAGTACTCAGCTATGTAACAATCTAGTGAAATGAAGGCAGCCCCAAGCTGAGCAGGCTCTATCAGCCAGGAGAGAACCTTCTCAGGCACTGAATTTCCCTTAACTATTGGCAATGAAAGGATGACCGGTGTTAGCATTCCAGGATGATAGGTTCCAGAGTTAATATTATCTGATAATCTTAATGGATGTAAGCAGTTCTCTGAGAGTTGAAGCTCAAGTTTCTGGCTGCTTGCAGTATTATAACAGCACAAAATTTACTAAACAACCTCTTCTGTCCATGCCCAGGAGATCAAAGCCATCTTAGTAGAGGAGAAAAGGTAACCAAAATCAAAGGGAAAAGACCATTGGATCTCATACTTTGTTCTGACTTTTGTAATCACAGAATGTCAAAGGGGGAAGACTCAAGCCCCAGTAGATTCAGACACTAATACCTCACCCTGCTTTGGGTGTCCACTGAGGTCCAGGACCCAGTGAATCCTAAACCTGTCTACAGCACACTACCTAACCAAAATCTGTGTTCCAAATCTGTGCTTCCATGCTGGTGTGACCATGGAATTGCCTTAGGACTATTTTTTCTGGGATGTGAAAGCCCAGGATAGAAAACAATGGGAGTTTGGGTGGGAAGGGTCAGCAGATAGGACAATCATAGCTAGACAACTGCAAGCACATGTCCCTTTAATGTGCTGGCCAGACCATGTGACAGAA